ACCCATACACCACCACTACAGACACCACAGGAACCCATACACCACCACTACAGACACCACAGGAACCCATACACCACCACTACAGACACCACAGGAACCCATACACCACCACTACATTACACCACAGGAACCCATACACCACCACTACACCACAGGAACCCATACACCACCACTACATTACACCACAGGAACCCATACACCACCACTACATTACACCACAGGAACCCATACACCACCACTACAGACACCACAGGAACCCATACACCACCACTACAGACACCACAGGAACCCATACACCACCACTACAGACACCACAGGAACCCATACACCACCACTACATTACACCACAGGAACCCATACACCACCACTACATTACACCACAGGAACCCATACACCACCACTACATTACACCACAGGAACCCATACACCACCACTACATTACACCACAGGAACCCATACACCACCATCACCACTACACCACTACACCACAGGAACCCATACACCACCACTACATTACACCACAGGAACCCATACACCACCACTACATTACACCACAGGAACCCATACACCACCACTACATTACACCACAGGAACCCATACACCACCACTACAGACACCACAGGAACCCATACACCACCACTACATTACACCACAGGAACCCATACACCACCACTACAGACACCACAGGAACCCATACACCACCACTACATTACACCACAGGAACCCATACACCACCACTACATTACACCACAGGAACCCATACACCACCACTACAGACACCACAGGAACCCATACACCACCACTACATTACACCACAGGAACCCATACACCACCACTACAGACACCACAGGAACCCATACACCACCACTACAGACACCACAGGAACCCATACATCACCACTACATTACACCACAGGAACCCATACACCACCACTACAGACACCACAGGAACCCATACACCACCACTACAGACACCACAGGAACCCATACACCACCACTACAGACACCACAGGAACCCATACACCACCACTACAGACACCACAGGAACCCATACATCACCACTACAGACACCACAGGAACCCATACACCACCACTACAGACACCACAGGAACCCATACACCACCACTACAGACCACCACAGGAACCCATACACCACAGGACTACAGACACCACAGGAACCCATACACCACCACTACAGACACCACAGGAACCCATACACCACCACTACAGACACCACAGGAACCCATACACCACCACTACAGACACCACAGGAACCCATACACCACCACTACAGACACCACAGGAACCCATACACCACCACTACAGACACCACAGGAACCCATACACCACCACTACAGACACCACAGGAACCCATACACCACCACTACAGACACCACAGGAACCCATACACCACCACTACAGACACCACAGGAACCCATACACCACCACTACACATCACCACACCCACAGGAACCCATACACCACCACTACAGACACCACAGGAACCCATACACCACCACTACAGACACCACAGGAACCCATACACCACCACTACAGACACCACAGGAACCCATACACCACCACTACAGACACCACAGGAACCCATACACCACCACTACAGACACCACAGGAACCCATACATAACCACTACAGACACCACAGGATCCCATACATCACCACTACAGACACCACAGGAACCCATACACCACCACTACATTACACCACAGGAACCCATACACCACCACTACAGACACCACAGGAACCCATACACCCACTACAGACACCACAGGAACCCATACACCACCACTACAGACACCACAGGAACCCATACACCACCACTACACACCACAGGAACCCATACACCACCACTACATTACACCACAGGAACCCATACACCACCACTACATTACACCACAGGAACCCATACACCACCACTACAGACACCACAGGAACCCATACACCACCACTACATTACACCACAGGAACCCATACACCACCACTACAGACACCACAGGAACCCATACACCACCACTACATTACACACAGGAACCCATACACCACCACTACAGACACCACAGGAACCCATACACCACCACTACAGACACCACAGGAACCCATACACCACCACTACACCACAGGAACCCATACACCACCACTACATTACACCACAGGAACCCATACACCACCACTACACACCACAGGAACCCATACACCACCACTACACCACAGGAACCCATACACCACAGGAACCCATACACCACCACTACAGACACCACAGGAACCCATACACCACCACTACACACCACAGGAACCCATACACCACCACTACACACCACAGGAACCCATACACCACCACTACACCACAGGAACCCATACACCACCACTACAGACACCACAGGAACCCATACACCACCACTACATTACACCACAGGAACCCATACACCACCACTACATACACCACCACTACACACCACAGGAACCCATACACACCACTACACCACAGGAACCCATACACCACCACTACACCACAGGAACCCATACACCACCACTACATTACACCACAGGAACCCACCACACTACATTACACCACAGGAACCCATACACCACCACTACACCACACCCATACACCACCACTACACCACAGGAACCCATACACCACCACTACACCACAGGAACCCATACACCACCACTACACCACAGGAACCCATACACCACCACTACATTACACCACAGGAACCCATACACCACCACTACATTACACCACAGGAACCCATACACCACCACTACACCACCACAGGAACCCATACACCACAGGAACCCATACACCACCACTACATTACACCACAGGAACCCATACACCACCACTACATTACACCACAGGAACCCATACACCACCACTACACCACAGGAACCCATACACCACCACTACTTACACCACAGGAACCCATACACCACCACTACATTACACCACAGGAACCCATACACCACCACTACACATCACAGGAACCCATACACCACCACTACATTACACCACAGGAACCCATACACCACCATCACAGGAACCCATACATCACCACTACATTACACCACAGGAACCCATACACCACCACTACATTACACCACAGGAACCCATACACCACCACTACATACACCACAGGAACCCATACACCACCACTACATAACACCACAGGAACCCATACACCACCACTACTTACACCACAGGAAACCCATACCACACAGACACACAGGAACCCATACATCACCACTACACACCACAGGAACCCATACACCACCACTACAGACACCACAGGAACCCATACACCACCACTACATTACACCACAGGAACCCATACACCACCACTACATTACATCACAGGAACCCATACACCACCACTACTTTACACCACAGGAACCCATACACCACCACTACATCACAGGAACCCATACATCACCACTACATTACACCACAGGATCCCATACACCACCATTACTTTACACCACAGGAACCCATACACCACCACTACATCACAGGAACCCATACACCACCACTACATTACACCACAGGAACCGATACACCACCACTACAGACTCCACAGGAACCCATACACCACCACTACAGACTGGGGTAGAGTCACAAAGTGTGGTCACCTTCCTCCCTCACTCATCCACCATACCTCCTCATCATCTGGGTTTTCTCCTCCTGCCCTCATATATACACGCTATTGAGACTATTGAGGTGCGCTCTGGTTGTCGGTCTGGAGTGGCCTCTCCAGGGCACAAAGCCAGGGTAGGTTGATACGGAGGAAAAGCTGTCACCCATGCAGCAGGTCTTCCCCCCTCTCGACGGCGCCGAAAGTCTCCAATGGAAAGGCAAACGTCCATACGATTGTTTCCCGGGCTGTCGCAGGAACTGTCAGGGCGAGGTTGAAGGCAACAACGAACTGCCCCTAGGAGGCTCCCGCTCCGGAGTTGACCTCGAAGTTGGTAAAAGAAGGCACAGGTATTCCACACCTGGCACAGGGACTCCCACACCTGGCACAGGGACTCCCACACCCAGCACAGGAACTCCACACCTGGCACAGGGACTCCACACCCGGCTCAGGAACTCCACACCTGGCACAGGGACTTCACACCCGGCACAGGGACTCCCACACCCGGCACAGGGACTCCCACACCCGGCACAGGGACTCCCACACCCGGCACAGGGACTCCCACACCCGGCACAGGGACTCCACACCCGGCACAGGGACTCCCAAACCCGGCACAGGGACTCCACACCCGGCACAGGGACTTCACACCCGGCACAGGGACTCCCACACCCGGCACAGGGACTCCCACACCCGGCACAGGGACTCCCACACCCGGCACAGGGACTCCCACACCCGGCACAGGGACTCCCACACCCGGCACAGGGACTCCCACACCCGGCACAGGGACTCCCACACCCGGCACAGGGTCCCAAACCCGGCACAGGGACTCCACACCCGGCACAGGGACTCCCAAACCCGGCACAGGAACTCCCACACCCGGCACAGGGACTCCCAAACCCGGCACAGGGACTCCCAAACCCGGCACAGGGACTCCACATCTAAGTATACATTACTTAATTCGTATTTTATAACCTACAATATACACACATAAGTGTTATAGCACAAAACCTACAATATACACACATAAGTCTCCGTGGTGTAGTGGTAAGACACTCGCCTGGCGTTCCGCGAGCGCTATGTCATGGGTTCGTATCCTGGCCGGGGAGGATTTACTGGGCGCAAATTCTTAACTGTAGCCTCTGTTTAACGCAACAGCAAAATGTGTACTTGGATGAAAAAACGATTCTTCGCGGCAGGGGATCGTATTCCAGGGACCATAGGATTAAGGACTTGCCCGAAACGCTACGCGTACTAGTGGCTGTACAAGAATGTAACAACTCTTGTATATATCTCAAAAAAAAAAAAAAAAAGTGTTATAGCACAAAAGAACATAACAAAAGTGTACACTTACCTGATGACACATGTACATGGTCCAGCAGGAAGACCCTCCGTCACGTCTCTGTGCTTCGCCAAAGTCATGTTCTGCTTGTTTAAGCCACTTGTTGGCTTCAAGACGATCAGGCAACTTTCTCTCCTTCATCTTACTTCTGAAATACTTGAAGGAACCTGAGGATTGGCTCCGTGGTGAGTTGAATGCACTGCTGAAGAAATCACTAGAAGTTGTTTTGAATGTTTTACTGAAGAAATAACTGGATGTTGTTTTGAATGTTTTACTGAAGAAATCACCGGATGTTGTTTTGAATGTATTACTGTAGGCACTGTAGGCACCGCTGAAAGTATTTTCACTTGTAACATCTTCATCGTCTGGAATAATCTCTCCATTCTCCAGACGCTTCACCAGGTGTTGCATATATTGCATCTCGCGGGTACAGAGTTCCACTCTCTCAAGGTTCTTGTCTGGATGCCACTTGAGGATCAAGCGCCGTAAGAGGTGCCGCCTTTCTTTTTCATCTTTAACTTTCCATATTTCTTTTAATTGTTTCCTTATATTCTTCATAATTTCTTTCTCAGAGAGACTGCCAGGTTCATCTTCGGTTAAGACCCCATCAGTTTGTACCACATCACTTCTCATACTTTCCTTAGCTCTTACAAACTTGTACAGCTGATGGGCTCGAACTATCATGCAGGACTTTGCTTCACATCCAGTGTCAACTTCGTATTCATTCATAAATAAGCTATCATGACTTCTCACCAAGCGCTTTACTTGAACAATTATGTATATATTATCTTCGGTAGATTCATCTCCTTCAAGAATGTACTTCTTCATACAGACAATCTCTCCCTCGTGGAACTGACAAAATTCATTATCCAGCAAATGAATTAGATCTTCATCGAGGTATGAACCTACATCTGTTTGATAGCACTCATATGCACTATTCTGACCTTCCCATGTAGTAATGCCTAAGTTATTCAGTAATGAAGGAATATCATGTGGTTTCTCATATAACCTCAATATGTGTCCTAAATTCTCCATCACTGATGCTGTAACTAACTTAAGTAGTTCTCTGTATGTTTTACACAGTCCACAGACAACAAGAGTACTGTCAATGGTTTCAGAAATATAAAGTGTAACTTTTCTCTCTTCTCTATTACAAACTTGTACAAAGAAGTGACTGTCTCGTTTCCCAACTTCGTCTTCATTAACCGTTAGAGTGGTGGTAATTACCTTCAACTGCTTCACCTCCACTCTGTCAAGACTATCCATCAATTCTTTTGTTTCAGTTTTATCTAAACATGATCCTGAAGATACTTTATCATGATTTATAATTCTCAATATATTCAGTTTAATATTATCTGAATGCAGGATTTGTCTTAACTCTTTAAGTAATTCTGTTGTTATTTCCTCGGTATTGCTGTCAAGGTTTTCCTTCACAACTTGAGACAAAAGATTTGGCTGCAAATTCTTAGGCAACATATTCACAAAGTCACTATCAGTCATTTCTATCTTTAAAACTTTAAATCCGGCAAATATTGGTATGTTTAATTTTCCTTTCACGTTCTCTAAATATTCAACATCTTGAACATACATTTCAGAAGACTTTTCCAATTTTCTTTCCTCTGTTGGAAGATATAGTTCAGAAACTTTCAGGTCTTTGAGATTTGATTTCTTTTTCACCAAGCCTTCAAGAGCCGCCTTCATACACTTAGAGTCTTCAGGATGCAATACTTTCCCGCCACTTTCTTCATAAATCATTTTCAATACTTGAGCATACGAGTCACACGTAGCGACCTCAAGGGCTCCAAGTTTCTTAAAAACATTAATGTATTTCCCATATGTTGTTGGAACTCTCAATAAATATGGGATAATTTCAACTTCCAATATTTCAATCACACAATCAGCAGCAACAAAGGTTGAGTGCGTCGGTATATGCACTACAGGAGTTCTCTGGCAAGCAAGTGTATCATGAACACTGTTTCTGCACTTTTGTAAATACTGGTAAATACTTTCCATTATACTCTCAATGGCGGCATTTGAGTTCTTTTGTTTAGATTTTAAAAATCTACAAAGATTTTGTATGTGCTCAAGAACCTTTTCTTCAGGTGGAGCGTCTACGATGTTCAGATGTTTCTTAATATCACTCCTGCATGACGTTGCATAACGTGGCAAAAGGCTTGCAGTTGTCCACAGAATATTAGCAAATTTTGATGGCACACCGCTAGAGAAAGACAACAATCCAGATGCAGCTCTGAAGAGCGGGCGAATCTCCTCTAATTCTTCACTCTCATGTGGAACAAGAAATTCAATATTCCTTATCTGTGAAACATTGCACTTTAGATTATCATACTTGTCAAAAAGGTATTGTGTGAGAACTTCAGACTTTGGTCTAACTTTAGAATCATTAGGTGATAATGTTCTCGCATACTTCACGTACATTTCAGCAGTCAGTTCATGTACCATGCCAGACAATTTGAGAAAGTGCTGCCATTCTTGTGATGACCATTCTTTTGGTAAATTATTCAGCTCCATCACTTTGAATACTGGATTATTGGGATCATAGAAATTGTCTGCAGTTTTCCAACTTCCATTTAGCTCTATAAAAGGAGTCTTTTTTAATATTGAAACAACATTTATTAGACTTTGGTTCCAATACACTTCTGCCATATGTGCTTCTTTTAGTTCATCTCGTATCTTTTCCAGATAGTAGGTTCGTTCTTGAGGTGACAAATACTTAAAATTTGGCAGAATTAGTTTAGTATAAATTTCCAGATCCTCCAGAAGACATCCTGAACTCAAGTATTGGTAGAAACATTTTGCATTTGATGTTCCTTTCTTTAAAATTATTATATTTTTACTTTCTGCTAATTTAACCAAATATTTTAAATCAAGCTTTGACCCAACTGGTACAATAAAGTTCTTGTCTTCCAAATTCTGCACAACTCCACAAACGTCTTCAAACATAGGGAGTGAACGGAGTTTATAATGAGGGAGTGAAGTACTAGAATAATGTGCACCAAAATATTCCAATACCTCAGTCATTTTTTTATAAGGTTCCATCCCGCTTGGTTTAACATAGAGGACAATTCTCTCTCTGTGGAAGTAGAGGTTGTCTAGCAAAACTGAAGGATCTGTTAATGTTGCTGTTAAGTGAATGGGTAACCCAGCTGGAATAATACTGAGACATGGATGAGGAACAGGCAAGTGATGGAATACTGAAGATGGATTGTTGTCAAGGTCTAGAACTCTCCAGGCGTTCTTTAATTTTTTTTTTTTTTTTTTTTTTTTTTTTTTTTTTTTTTTTTTTGAGATATATACAAGAGTTGTTACATTCTTGTACAGCCACTAGTACGCGTAGCGTTTCGGGCAAGTCCTTAATCCTATGGTCCCTGGAATACGATCCCCTGCCGCGAAGAATCGTTTTTTCATCCAAGTACACATTTTACTGTTGCGTTAAACAGAGGCTACAGTTAAGGAATTGCGCCCAGTAAATCCTCCCCGGCCAGGATACGAACCCATGACATAGCGCTCGCGGAACGCCAGGCGAGTGTCTTACCACTACACCACGGAGACTGCTAACTGCGAGTGAGACTGCTGTTAATGTAACTAAATATTTCTGGTTGTTGTCAGTTAAAGGATACAATGCCCAGTCTCCAAGAGTGTTCATAATATATTCTCTCTTCTGCTGATAATTACATGCCATATGTTCTGCCCCAAAAATACTACCAATGTTCTTTTTACTATAATTCAAATACTCTTTTATAAATTTCCAAAGCATTTTTAACCAATCATGGAGGTCGTCGCGTAATGGCAAAAAGGCTTCACAGCCATGATATGACTTGTCCAAATTTGTATGCAGTCTGTCAGCCAGATCCTTTAATGTGAACTCTTTCAGGGCATTAATGTTCTTGTAGTCTACTTGAGAATCTTTCAATAATTTTACCATCTTAATGTTTACAAATTCATGTGCAGAATGTGGTAGTAAGGGGCAGTATGGTGAAATAAATACTGGTTCCTTGGAATTAAAGTATTTGAGGATCATGTCATTAGTAAGCAGCAGTGGAAGGCCTTCTAATTTACTGAGGAAATCTTTGGAGTGTGTAAGGTAAATGAAGACAATACTCACGTTGTTTGTACTTAAAAATGGGGTCTTAGTAATGTGTTCATTTAACATTGGGTTACACTTGTCAGGGTAATCTTTATCCCAGGACTGGAGAAACTCAAGAGCAACATCTGGCTTCAGCCAGTGACACGGGATTCCAACACTTGTGAGCTTGTCGAGCATAACTGAGCTACCCACTTTCATGCCAAGCCTCCTTAGTGTGTTTAAGACTGGATCTATAATAGGAACACTACCAGCAGGAACCCCACCACCAGGAACACCACCAGCAGGAACACCACCACCAGGAACAGGAACCACAGGAACACCACCACCAGGAACACCACCACCAGGAACACCACCAGGAACACACCACCAGGAACACCACCACCAGGAACACCACCACCAGGAACACCACCACCAGGAACACCACCACCAGGAACACCACCACCAGGAACACCACCACACAGGAACACCACCACCAGGAACACCACCACCAGGAACACCACCACCAGGAACACCACCACCAGGAACACCACCACCAGGAACACCACCACCAGGAACACCACCACCAGGAACACCACCACCACCAGGAACACCACCACCAGGAACACCACCACCAGGAACACCACCACCACCAGGAACACCACCACCAGGAACACCACCACCAGGAACACCACCACCACCAGGAACACCACCACCAGGAACACCACCACCAGGACCACCACCACCAGGAACACCACCACCACCAACACCACCAGCAGGAACACCACCACCAGCAGGAACCACCACCAGCAGGAACCACCACCAGCAGGAACCACCACCAGCAGGAACCACCACCAGCAGGAACCACCACCAGCAGGAACCACCACCAGCAGGAACCACCACCAGGAACCACCACCAGCAGGAACCCCCACCACCAGGAACACCACCACCAGGAACACCACCACCAGGAACACCACCACCAGGAACACCACCACCAGGAACACCACCACCAGGAACACCACCACCAGGAACACCACCACCAGGAACACCACCACCAGGAACACCACCACCAGGAACACCACCACCAGGAACACCACCACCAGGAACACCACCACCACCAGGAACACCACACCACCAGGAACACCACCACCAGGAACACCACCACCAGGAACACCACCACCAGGAACACCACCACCAGGAACACCACCAGACTTATGACCACCACCAGGAACACCACCACCAGGAACACCACCACCAGGAACACCACCACCAGGAACACCACCACCACCAGGAACACCACCACCAGGAACACCCACACCACCAGCAACACCACCACCACGAACACCACCACCACGACGAACACCACCACCAGGAACACCACCACCAGGAACACCACCACCAGCAGGAACACCACCACCAGGAACACCACCACCAGGAACACCACCACCAGGAACACCACCACCACCACCAGGAACACCACCACCAGGAACCACCACCACCAGAACACCACCACCAGGAACACCACCACCAGGAACACCACCACCAGGAACACCACCACCAGGAACACCACCACCAGGAACACCACCACCAGGAACACCACCACCAGGAACACCACCACCAGGAACACCACCACCAGGAACACCACCACCAGGAACACCACCACCAGGAACACCACCACCAGGAACACCACCACCAGGAACACCACCACCAGGAACACCACCACCAGGAACACCACCACCAGGAACACCACCACCAGGAACACCACCACCAGGAACACCACCACCAGGAACACACCACCAGGAGGAACACCACCAGCAGGAACACCACCACCAGGAACACCACCACCAGGAACACCACCACCAGGAACACCACCACCAGGAACACCACCACCAGGAACACCACCACCAGGAACACCACCACCAGGAACACCACCACCAGGAACACCACCACCAGGAACACCACCACCAGGAACACCACCACCAGGACCACCAGGAAACACCACCACCAGGAACACCACCACCAGGAACACCACCACCAGGAACACCACCACCAGGAACACCACCACCAGGAACACCACCACCACCACCAACCACCCACCACCAGGAACACCACCACCAGGAACACCACCACCAGGAACACCACCACCAGGAACACCACCACCAGGAACACCACCACCAGGAACACCACCACCAGGAACACCACCACCACCAGGAACACCACCACCAGGAACACCACCACCAGGAACACCACCACCAGGAACACCACCACCAGGAACACCACCACCAGGAACACCACCACCACCAGGAACACCACCACCAGGAACACCACCACCAGGAACACCACCACCAGGAACACCCACCACCAGGAACACCACCACCAGGAACACCACCACCACCAGGAACACCACCACCAGGAACACCACCACCACCAGGAACACCACCACCAGGAACACCACCACCAGGAACACCACCACCACCAGGAACACCACCACCAGGAACACCACCACCAGGAACACCACCACCAGGAACACCACCACCAGGAACACCACCACCAGGAACACCACCACCAGGAACACCACCACCAGGAACACCACCACCAGGACGACCACACCACCACCAGGAACACCACCACCAGGAACCCACCACCAGGAAGGAACACACCAGCACCACCACCACCAGGAACACCACCACCAGGAACACCACCACCAGGACCAGGAACACCAGCACCACAACACCACCACCAGGAACACCACCACCAGGAACACCACCACCAGGAACACCACCACCAGGAACAACACCAGCAGGACGAACACCACCACCAGGAACACCACCACCAGGAAGAACACCAGCAGGACGAACACCACCACCAGGAACACCACCACCAGGAAGAACACCAGCAGGACGAACACCACCACCAGGAACACCACCACCAGGAAGAACCACCAGCAGGACGAACACCACCACCAGGAACACCACCACCAGGAAGAACACCACAGGAACAGCCACCACCAGGAACACCACCACCAGGAAGAACACCACCAGGAGGAACACCACCACCAGGAACACCACCAGGACCACCACCAGAACACCACCAGGAACAACACCACAGGAACACCCAGGAACACCACCACCAGGAACCACCACCAGGAACACCACCACCAGGACCACCACGAGGAGTGACAAAGTAAAGGGGAAATTTATTACTGGACTTTCTAAATGCATGCCATTTTAACTCTCCGTTTTGTGGACCAGAGACATTATCATTTTCAGGAATATAAATATTAAAGAAATGTAGCTCCTGATCAATTATGTACTCATAAAACCACTTAACAAGATCCTTCCATTTATTTGATTCAGTATTAGTTCCATCAGGCAAGGTCATCTTATACAGATTCATATTAAGTAAATACTTTTCTTTTGTAATCTTATTATCACTTTCTGGGAAAATGAATGTCCTATAGTAATTAAGAGCACACACGGCAGCAGGGACAAGCACCTCCTTCATCAACCAAGTATTCCACCGAGCTTTATGATCCTCTGATCCGGTCCACAAATCCCGTCGAGAAGAATTTAGAGTAAAATGTCCATTAACACTGAATGGTAAGCCTGATTTTACTGGTAATGGAAGGTAACAAGATGTTGTAAATAAGTCATTAATTTCCTCTTGGTTGGTTTCCAGAAGAATAGCGGCTCCAGCATGAGGAAGCAGACTCAGGTCCTTGCGGGAGAAGGCATCCTTCACTATCTCTGGCACACTATCTTTATTTTCTGAACCAAGTTGCTGAACAATATACCAGGTGTATTTTGCCTTGTTTGTGTCTGTGACTGTCATTATATAAGATGCTCTCATCATGTCTATATTAAAGACAGAATATAAATTATCATCAAGATGCTTCATTTCTTCCATCATATGTTGCAGCTTTAAGAGCTCATTTTGTTGCTGTATGGATGACTCAACGCAATATTCAATACAACATTCTCCACCTTCTGAAATGCTCATAATGGAAATTTTGCGAACATTTCTTAAAAATAACAAACATTTTGCCATTTCCTTCTTGAACTCATTCAACTTTTGTGTCAGCTTCCAGCATGGGAAGGGATCTGCTATTTCAGACTTGTTTTCAGTCCTTAGTGGAAGCCTAAAAACTGTGCCTTCTTGCTGAAGAAAATTATTTTCAAGATATCCTTGGAAAGAATCTGGATGATCTCTCCGCAAGTCTTGGAGGTTCACAAACTGAACCCCAGGTTGGTCAGGAGTCGCCATAGGGTCATAACGACAGTGAGGGTCAAACATGCACAGAGTCTCTCCCTGGGGGAGGTCAGGGCCTCGTGTTAAGAATGATGGAGCATCGGTCAAGTGGTAGACAGCATTAAACCCCATGCCATACTGCCCTGTGCTGGCTAGGTCCTGGCGTTTGTTGCTGTCACCCAAGTCTTGAATATTTTGTAGATCTTTTTCTGTGAAACCTTTGTTATTGTAGACAGTAAGAGCAGGTCCCTGTAGTGGCGCCCAAGTCTTGTCAAACAACTGTTTATCAGAGAGATTTCTAAAGTCTTTAATGAAGGCAATTTCTGTTGCTCCTGCATCATCAGCATTCTGCAACAGCTCCTTCATTATTCCACAGTCACATGGATATTCTTGAAGAATGTTCCTCAGTCTGGTGGTTAAGGGCTCATTCTGACCAAAATGTATTCTACTTGAAGAGTTTTCAAGGCGTTGCCGAGTTTTTGTTTTTATTCCTAGCCAATTTGTCATTTCCAACGACAGAGAAATGTTTTTATGCAAACAGTTAAATTTACCGGAACTGAGCTTAACTCCATCTTCACAACACAACTTACGTATGGGGCAGAGATAACCATCTGCATTAGGAAGGTGCAGCAAGTGAAGGCATAACTCACCCGAATGTCGAACATTAAACAACAATGCCAGAAGCTTGGAAATTTGTGACACTTCTAGCTCACTTATTTGATTTGATTTATATTTTTCTTTCTTTTGACATATAACTTGAAATACAACATCTGCACGAAAGGTTGGTACGATAGCAAGGGCTTCTGTTAAGTGTTTGTACATGCCAAGTCCTTCCCCTTGCACTGAGAACAAGTCCGGTGAACAGTCTATCTCAGTATTAAGTGCAAAAAGACTGGGTTCCATAAAGCCATGTTTCGTAAGTAATACTTTCTCATTTCTTAGCTCTTTAAATTCCTCGGGAATGATTGCAATTGAAGACTGAAAAGTGTTCTCAAAATACCTGTAGATTTTATGGCATATTTTATTGATGTTACCGACTGCTGGCGAGACAGTAGATAATATTTTGAGCTGCTGACACACTTTATTGAAAGGCAGCTTGTCTTCGTGAACAATAATGCCAAGTCTCTCCATCAGCAGATGAGATATCCCAACATTATGTATATTATGCTGCCAGAGTAATACATTTGTGCTGCCAACAAGCTCTTTGAATCCTCCCAAACACATGTCAAGAGGTTCAGAGAACCCTACAGACTTCATCTCTCCCAGAATGTTAAGCTTACCAAGCTGGCCATGATCATCACACACCTGGGCTTTGTGTAGTGTAGTGTCACCTCTCCATGTGAGGGGCCAGTCTTGTGGCTTGGCCATGACAGGTAAGAACGACACATTCTGAATTATCTTTGCAATATTCTCTTGTTCATCATTATCTCGAGTTCCAATATAATGCAAGATTTCCAAAGATCTTTCAACAGCACAATTAGGGCAAGACAATGTCACAATTGTGTTTGCTCTGTTCTTGACCATCTCTGAAGGAATACATTCAGAATTCATTCCCAAATGCAAAAGAATATAATGTCTATCAGAATTATTCCAAAACAGGTCTTCCGGAAATCTCTCATCGACTGTGCTGAACATTTTTGCAATCCTACTCTTAGGGTCTATTAGGTCAGAAGGCTTTCTTAACTTTCCTTCTGGGATTGTAGGAATACAATAGACATTTCTGAGCTTTTCAAAACATGGATGCCTAGTATCAAAGATATGCAAAGTCAGCTTGTTTCTCTTCTCTGGAGTAACGTGTTGCTCCCTTATGTTTGGGATGAAAACATTTAAGAAAAAGGAGTCTTTAGTGACCATGTGTTCACATATTTGATCAAACTGGAATCCAGAAACAATTTCCTTTGGTAACACTATCATAAAGCCTGAAGACCCCAAAAACTTTTCCATATATTCATAGGCAATGTTACCAATGTCTTGTAGTTCGTAAAAGTCTTCTTCTAGAAACTTACAGACTTTCAGTGGATGCCATTCACCTCTGCTCCGAAAGACTGGCAGAGCCTCGCTGACAATTGTATTATAAAAATACTTTGTGAAGTTTAATACTAATTCATCATCTGTGCCGTGGTATACGGGCCAGAGGCAGTAATATGGACAGTCCCGACTAAGACCTTCAACTTTAAGAGAAGATATAAGGCTATGATAAGCAGCATTTATGGCATCATTCATCAAAGTTTCATTCCAGTCTGAACCTTCCACTCGGTCATCCTCTGTCTGCGTCTGAAGACTTGTACGGTCTGGAGCCACTTCAAAAAAGCCATTTACTTGTACTGGCAGACGCGTTGTTACTGGCAATGGCAGAAAGCAGTGCATATGGCTCTCATTATAAAATCCTTGAGGAAGTTCTGACAGCTTAATGGGTTGCCAGCCATCATTGTGTTCTGTTAATGGCATCGCCACAGCACCAAGAGGTAGAGCTTTTCCTGCAAGAGTTTCGGCAAACTGACATGATGCCCCGTTGCCACAGTGCCAGGATGTGAGCCACGTGACGGTCCAAACACCTTTGTCAACGCCACTAAATTGACTCCCTTCTTCTGAACATACAACTTTTACTTCTGAAAAAATGCTCTCTTGAAAAGTTTCTAAGTTCCACTTAAAATCATTATTAAAAAGTTTAGCAACTCTCTTCACTTGTGTTTCATCAGTTGTTTTGCTGAAGGCAGAGGTTGCCGGTGAAGGACAAACTTTCTTTATTGTTCTTAAACTTTCAAATAAGAGCACTTTCTCTGTTGGTGATGATGCACTCTTATTTAAGTGAAACACTTTGATGTCCTTAACATTCTGAGTGAAGAGAAGAAGTTCTCCAATAATCTTGCTAAACATCTGAAGCAGTTTTGTCATGTCTTTCTGCCTGTAGGTGACATCACTGATCTCACTTGTGCAGGCTTGGGATGCAGTTCTTAATGGAAAGCGAAATAAAGTGCCATCAAACTTTTTTGTCTGTTGGATGTTACAGCCAAAAACATCATTAAATGGTTTAAATTGTCCATTAAGTTTACTCAGCATATATAAATTTCTCTTGCTTGAAAAGTTGAATCTCACTCCAGGAGTCTGGCTATTGCTGTTTAAGTAAGTCATGTGTGGGTCAAATATAATGTAATTGGTGCCACTCACAATGCTTGGCACATCTGTCAGGTTATAAACAGAACAAAATCCAAGTCCGAATTTTCCTATTTTTGTGGACTGATATTCCTTAGTTCCTGCGCCTAATTTTCTTAAATTGGAGAAATCTTCCTCAGTGAAGAGCGCATCATTATAGGCCCATAAAGCTGGACCCTGACACTCTTCTAGTTTATTGCTCAGAAGTCTTGTTCGTGCATCGTCATTTTGACGTTCATCATAGAGGAAGGAAAGAGTGGTGGCGCCAGCATCATCAGCATTCTGCACCAACTCCTTCATGACTGCCACACCGTCACGGTACTGCCGGAGCAGGTTGTGGAGACGTGTGGTGAGCGGCTCCACTTGTCCCCATTCCATAAAAGCCTCTTCTCCAGCCAGTAAATGTTTACTCAGAGGTGCAACACCTAAAGCTTTTGCTAGTTTGGTTCCAACACTGTTGTGAACTATTCTTATTCCCAGTTCGTCACTGTCAATCCACTCACATGATTGTTCTGAATAAGAACATTGCTTTACATCAATTAGTTCCAGCGTTCCGTTAGTGTTTTCCACAGGCAACAGCAGTTCACATGGAGGAATATCTTTGCAAAAAGGTTCAAGTTTACGAAGAACTTGAACAACTATATCTCTGTCACAATCAACATCTGCACATTGCTCTGAGGAGTGGTGATGTTGAATTTGTCGTAAAAGTGTCAAGAACAGCTCCTTTGATTGTGTTTCAAAACATCCTAGAGCATGAAAAAGACTACTACAATCACGGAATTCAAATGGTAAAGAATACATGTATGGCAATAATTGTATGTCCCCGATCTGCGAAGAGATGTACACTGTCTTAGGGTCCTTGAAGCCCGCCTCCGTAAACACACACGGGGAATTTGACAATGAGTCTAAATAGCAAACATCTGAAGTATCAACAAATGCTGAAAGCTGCTTGTATGTTTCCTTAATTAATGGAAAATATTCATCTTCTGTATTTTGGTATTCCTTCATTATATGTCTTAAATGTTCAATAAGACTGTTAACACTTGGCTTGTGATTCCAGCCAAAGCTGTCAGCAACATTACAAATGTCGGAACAATGTACCAGGGGGACCACAGAGCCCAGCACGTTCTTGAAGTGATTGTAACTCTTGATATCTTGAGGTCTGTATGGTTCAGAAAATGTTGCCCAATTTAAGCTGAGAGGATAGCCAGCTGGTTTAGTTGTTTCACCATATACAAAACTAACACCTCTTACAGCTTGACATATCTGATGGCAATCAGGTCGACGATTTGCTGCTCTAAGCAAAGCTGCTGCTTTCTTTACTTTCTCCTCATCAGTCAATGATTTCGTATGAAAATTTGATATGATCTGAATGAATTCATTTGTTGGCATATTGCACACTTTCTTCATCCCAAGAGTTCGTAATATGGGGCAATATTTCTGAAAGCTGGTTTGTGGGTTTAAATCTTCTGATATCAGAGCATCATTGTCAATATCCTCAGGATCATAAACCTGGCTTGGCAGCAAAAGTGTGCCACTCCTGTTGGGAACAAATCTCACAGACCGAAGTTGATTTAGAATTTTCTCACTACTCTGTAAGAGACTGTCTTGGAAAATGTATGTTACAAGTTTGTGTGTGTCGTTATCAGAGTACGTGTTCTGCAGGGCTAATAGGCACAGCATTTCCTTTGACAGTTCAGTGGCACCCAAGTTTTGTGCAAGCTGTCTGTCAGTCACAGAGGCTGGTACAATAAAAGTTTCAGGAAAATTGACTGGAAAGTTACTGATCTCTGGAAATATTTTGCTACACTGATTAATGTTTACATCTTTTACGATACAGTTCTCTCCTTTGGCTTTAAAGATATTAAGATCTTTGTAAAGGTTCACAATATCTGGATGAAGATTGTGTATTTCAGTAACATTAAGTAGAGCCTGAGCCAGTGCATCATTTCTACACATATTAAAGTTGCATGCAAGATCATTACTGTCATGCATTGTCAGCACCTTAAGCAACGCCTGGGATACACCTTGAGCATCAGAATTACTGAAATAACTGTGTAATTGATGATGTCGAACATATTCTGGAGGTCTAGGAATTACTTGCACTTTTAAAAGTCCCAGAGCAGCTATTGCATCTTCTGATAGCGGTATTGATCCATTTTGCACAATGATTGCAGAAGAAAGACTTATTAGCTTGGAGGAATGTGTTAAACTGGGACTGCAAGGCACCAAGGCTACATGCCTTACACTTTGTAGATCTAAATGTTGCATAACTGACCAAACTTTCAGCAGCCAGCTTTGCAACTGTTGCTGGGAGAGAGAGCGTTGCTGGACCACCTGAGCACTCTGAGAGAGCAGTTCAGCTCCATGATGACTGGCAGAGAACTCCATCAGCTGAGATACACCTGTAACAAGACATAATGTATTTTGCATATGTATTCATAGCTACATAAGTACTTGAGGCATTACACATATTTATACCTTGCATACAGCGTTCAGCGTATCGTGTGATTCCTATGCTCGTCTAAATATTAAATATAGACATTTTATGGACTGGAGCCAGACAGCTCCCGGGAGCATTGATTCTGGCACTTGAGACGTCCACATTAGACAACACCACTGTAGGCCCTGGTGCCCACATTGGTGTTAAGACTGCCCTGGTGCCCATATTGGTGTTAAGACTGCCCTGGTGCCCACATTGGTGTTAAGACTGCCCTGGTGCCCACATTGGTGTTAAGACTGCCCTGGTGCCCACATTGGTGTTAAGACTGCCCTGGTGCCCACACTGGTGTTAAGACTGCCCTGGTGCCCACACTGGTGTTAAGACTGCCCTGGTGCCTACAGTGGTGTTAAAACTGCCCTGGTGCCTACAGTGTTAAGAGTGCCCTAGTGCCTACAGTGTTAAGACTGCCCTGGTGCCTACAGTGGTGTTAAAACTGCCCTAGTGCCTACAGTGGTGTTAAAACTGCCCTAGTGCCCACATTTGTGTTAAAACTGCCCTAGTGCCCACATTTGTGTTAAAACTGCCCTGGTGCCTACAGTGGTGTTAAAACTGCCCTAGTGCCTACAGTGGTGTTAAAACTGCCCTGGTGCCTACAGTGGTGTTAAAACTGCCCTAGTGCCCACATTTGTGTTAAAACTGCCCTAGTACCTACAGTGGTGTTAAAACTGCCCTGGTGCCTACAGTGGTGTTAAAACTGCACTGGTGCCTACAGTGTTAAGACTGCCCTGGTGCATACAGTGTTAAGACTGCCCTGGTGCCTACAGTGTTAGGACTGCACTGGTGCCTACAGTGTTAAGACTGCCCTGGTGCCTACAGTGTTAAGACTGCCCTGGTGCCTACAGTGTTAAGACTGCCCTGGTGCCTACAGTGTTAAGACTGCCCTGGTGCCAACAGTGTTAAGACTGCCCTGGTGCCAACAGTGTTAAGACTGCCCTGGTGCCTACAGTGTTAAGACTGCATTTGTGCCTACAGTGTTAAGACTGCCCTGGTGCCTACAGTGTTAAAACTGCTCTGGTGCCTACAGTGTTAAGACTGCTCTGGAGCCTAGAGTGTTAAGACTGCACTGGTGCCAACAGTGTTAAGACTGCTCTGGTGCCTACAGTGTTAAGACTGCACTGGTGCCAACAGTGTTAAGACTGCCCTGGTGCCAACAGTGTTAAGACTGCTCTGGTGCCTACAGTGTTAAAACATCCCTGGTGCCTACAGTGTTAAAACTGCCCTGGTGCCTACAGTGTTAAGACTGCTCTGGTGCTAACAGTGTTAAGACTGCCCTGGTGCCTACGGTGTTAAGACTGCCCTGGTGCCAACAGTGTTAAGACTGCCCTGGTGCCTACAGTGTTAAGACTGCCCTGGTGCCCACATTGGTGTTAAGACTGCCCTGCTGCCAACAGTGTTAAGACTGCCCTGGTGCCCACATTGGTGTTAAGACTGCCCTGGTGCCTACAGTGTTAAGACTGCCCTGGTGCCAACAGTGTTAAGACTTCCCTGGTGCCTACAGTAGTGTTAAGACTGCCCTGGTGCCTACAATTGTGTTAAAACTACCCTGGTGCCTACAGTGCCAAGACTGCCCTGGTGTTTACAGTGTTAAAACTGCCCTGGTGCCTACAGTGTTAAGACTGCCCTTCAGCCTAGAGTGTTAAGACTGCCCTTCAGCCTAGAGTGTTAAGACTGCACTGATGCCTACAGTATTATGACTGCCCTGGTGCCTACAGTGTTAAGACTGCCCTGGTGCCTACAGTGTTAAGACTGCCCTTCAGCCTAGAGTGTTAAGACTGCACTGATGCCTACAGTGTTAAGACTGCCCTGGTGCCTACAGTGTTAAGACTGCCCTTCAGCCTAGAGTGTTAAGACTGCACTGATGCCTACAGTGTTAAGACTGCCCTGGTGCCTACAGTGTTAAGACTGCCCTTCAGCCTAGAGTGTTAAGACTGCACTGATGCCTACAGTATTATGACTGCCCTGGTGCCTACAGTGTTAAGACTGCCCTGGTGCCTACAGTGTTAAGACTGCCCTTCAGCCTACAGTGTTAAGACTGCCCTGGTGCCTACAGTGTTAAGACTGCACTGGTGCCTACAGTGTTAAGACTGCCCTGGTGCCTACAGTGTTAAGACTGCACTGGTGCCAACAGTGTTAAGACTGCCCTGGTGCCAACAGTGTTAAGACTGCCCTGGTGCCAACAGTGTTAAGACTGCACTGGTGCCAACAGTGTTAAGACTGCACTGGTGCCTACAGTGTTAAGACTGCCCTGGTGCCTACAGTGTTAAGACTGCACTGGTGCCAACAGTGTTAAGACTGCCCTGGTGCCAACAGTGTTAAGACTGCACTGGTGCCAACAGTGTTAAGACTGCACTGGTGCCAACAGTGTTAAGACTGCACTGGTGCCAACAGTGTTAAGACTGCACTGGTGCCAACAGTGTTAAGACTGCACTGGTGCCAACAGTGTTAAGACTGCCCTTCAGCCTAGAGTGTTAAGACTGCACTGATGCCTACAGTATTATGACTGCCCTGGTGCCTACAGTGTTAAGACTGCACTGGTGCCTACAGTGGTGTTAAGACTATTCTCGTAGCTACAGAGTTAAAACTGCCCTATAGCCTACAGTGTTAAGACTGCCCTGGTGCCTACAGTGTTAAGACTGCCCTGGTGCCTACAGTGTTAAGACTGCCCTGGTGCCTACGAGGTTAAGACTGCCCTGGTGCCTACAGTGTTAAGACTGCCCTGGTGCCTACGCGGTTAAGACTGCCCTGGTGCCTACAGTGTTAAGACTGCCCTGGTGCCTACAATGTTAACACTGCCCTGGTGCCTACAGTGTTATGACTGCCTTGGTGCCTACAGTGTTAAGACTGCCCTGGTGCCTACAGTGTTATGACTGCCCTGATGCCTACAGTGTTAAGACTGCCCTGGTGCCTACATTGTTATGACTGCCCTGGTGCCTACAGTGTTAAGACTGCCCTGGTGCCTACAGTGTTATGACTGCCCTGGTGCCTACAGTGTTAAGACTGCCCTGGTGCCTACAGTGTTATGACTGCCCTGGTGCCTACAGTGTTAAGACTGCCCTGGTGCCTACGCGGTTAAGACTGCCCTGGTGCCTACAGTGTTAAGACTGCCCTGGTGCCTACAGTGTTAAGACTGCCCTGGTGCCTACAGTGTTATGACTGCCTTGGTGCCTACAGTGTTAAGACTGCCCTGGTGCCTACAGTGTTAAGACTGCCCTGGTGCCTACAGTGTTATGACTGCCTTGGTGCCTACAGTGTTAAGACTGCCCTGATGCCTACAGTGTTAAGACTGCCCTGGTGCCTACAGTGTTATGACTGCCCTGGTGCCTACAGTGTTAAGACTGCCCTGGTGCCTACAGTGTTAAGACTGCCCTGGTGCCTCAGTGTTAAGACTGCCCTGGTGCCTACAGTGTTAAGACTGCCCTGGTGCCTACAGTGTTATGACTGCCCTGGCGCCAACAGTGTTAAGACTGCCCTGGTGCCTACAGTGTTAAGACTGCCCTGGTGCCTACAGTGTTAAGACTGCCCTGGTGCCTACAGTGTTAAGACTGCCCTGGTGCCTACAGTGTTAAGACTGCCCTGGTGCCTACAGTGTTAAGACTGCCCTGGTGCCTACAGTGTTAAGACTGCCCTGGTGCCTACAGTGTTAAGACTGCCCTGGTGCCTACAGTGTTAAGACTGCCCTGGTGCCTACAGTGTTAAGACTGCCCTGGTGCCTACGAGGTTAAGACTTCCCTTCCTTCCCATCTGTAGAGTTAATACCTCTTCCCATATGTATAGTTAATTCCTCTTATCATGTGTAGAGTTAATTCCTCTTATCATGTGTAGAGTTAATTCCTCTTCGCATGTGTAGAGTTAATATCTCTTCCCAAACCTGCTAGAGGATGGTCAGGTGAGGTGTAGGACTGGTAATATAAGCAGTCGATAGCGAATCATCTGTTCAGAGCAAGAAGCAGGAAGTTTAGCAAATCTATTTGCTTCAAGAGCCAATTCCTCTCAACTTCCTCAAGCAATTCTGACTCACCAACAACGATTTCAAGCAGCATGATGGCAAAACATGAACGATGATTTAGCCTTATCTGACGAACTAGACCAACCTTTCAAGCTGAAAGAACTCAATCAGAAGAGCTACAAAAAAAACTAGAAATACAGCTCCAGGCGAGGACAAAATCACTTACAACATGCTGGCCAAGCTAGGAGAAAAGGGTGAAGAAGCCTTCTTGAATTTCATCAACAGAGTATGGGTGACAAGAACCCGACCACTCTCTTGGAACAGTGTAATTATAGTTCCCATCTCAAAACCCAAAGACCCAGGAAATTCAAGACCCGTCCCATTAACAAGTTGTCTGGCCAAAACTGCTGAAAGAATAGCTCTTAATTGAAATGACCCGAAAGTAAATCCACTGCACCAAAATATGTTTCGTTACAGAAAAGGTGTTGGAACCACAGAATGCCTTACCTCCCTCCTGGATCAAATCATGACTAACCAGGAATCCTTATTTTTCTTGACCTAGAAAAAGCCTTCGAGCTAGCCAATGCTCCAGCTACACTGTGCTGCCTGGTAGATAAGAAAATCAAAGGGCACGCTCCTCCCTCTGCAAAAGCGTGTCAAATCAGTCAAAGAACAACAAATGGAAACTATCTCAAGACCTGCAACGACTCACATCTTCACAGACGGATCAGTTGATCAAACAAGAGGTTCTGCTGGGGCAACAGTTTACACTAACAACCATGAAGCTTACTGGTTGATACCTGGTTGATGGGGTTCTGGGAGTTCTTCTACTCCCCAAGCCCGGCCCGAGGCCAGGCTTGACTTGTGAGAGTTTGGTCCACTAGGCTGTTGCTTGGAGCGGCCCGCAGGCCCACATACCCACCACAGCCCGGTTGATCCGGCACTCCTTGGAGGAATAAATCTAGTTTCCTCTTGAAAATGTCCACGGTTGTTCCGGCAATATTTCTTATGCTTGCTGGGAGGACGTTGAACAACCGTGGACCTCTGATGTTCATACAGTGTTCTCTGATTGTGCCTATGGCACCTCTGCTCTTCACTGGTTTTATTCTACATTTTCTTCCATATCGTTCACTCCAGTACATTGTTATTTTACTGTGTAGATTTGGTACTTGGCCCTCCAGTATCTTCCAGGTGTATATTATTTGATATCTCTCTCGTCTTCTTTCTAGTGAGTACAGTTGGAGGGCTTTGAGACGATCCCAATAATTTAGGTGCTTTATTGCGTCTATGCGTGCCGTATATGTTCTCTGTATCCCCTCTATTTCAGCAATCTCTCCTGCTCTGAAGGGGGAAGTGAGTACTCAAGACGGGACAACACAAGTGACTTGAAGAGTACAACCATTGTGATGGGATCCCTGGATTTGAAAGTTCTCGTAATCCATCCTATCATTTTTCTGGCTGTCGCAATATTTGCTTGGTTATGCTCCTTAAACGTTAGGTCATCAGACATTATTATTCCCAAATCCTTTACATGCTGTTTTCCTACTATGGGTACATTTGATTGTGTTTTGTACTCTGTATTATGTTTAAGGTCCTCATTTTTACCGTACCTGAGTACCTGAAATTTATCACTGTTAAACATCATGTTATTTTCTGATGCCCAGTCGAAAACTTTATTAATATCAGCTTGAAGTTTTTCAATGTCTTCAGCCGAGGTAATTTTCATACTGATTTTTGTGTCATCTGCAAAGGATGATACGAAGCTGTGACTTGTATTTTTGTCTATATCTGATATGAGAATAGGGAAAAGTAGCGGTGCAAGGACTGTACCCTGAGGTACAGAGCTTTTAACCGCACTTGGACTAGATTTTATATGGTTGACCGTTACTCGCTGAGTCCTGTTTGACAGAAAACTGAGTATCCAGCGTCCTACTTTACCGGTTATTCCCATTGACTTCATTTTGTGTGCTATCACGCCATGGTCACATTTATCGAAAGCCTTTGCGAAGTCCGTGTATATCACATCAGCATTCTGTTTTTCTTCTAATGCCTCAGTGACTTTGTCGTAGTGGTCAAGTAGCTGTGAGAGGCACGATCTTCCCGCTCGAAATCCATGTTGGCTTGGGTTGTGAAGGTCATTGGTCTCCATGAAATTGGTGACCTGACTCCTAATCACTCTCTCAAATACTTTTATGATGTGCGATGTTAGTGCAACTGATCTATAATTCTTTGCCAATGCTTTGATCCCTCCCTTGTATAGAGGGGCTATGTCTGCTACTTTAAGTGCATCTGGTATCTCCCCCGTGTCCAAGCTCTTCCTCCACACTATACTGAGTGCCTGTGCTACCGGCACTTTGCATTTCTTTATAAATATTGAATTCCATGAGTCTGGACCTGGGGCCGAGTGCATGGGCATATTTTCAATTTCTCTTTCAAAATTTAGTGCGCTCGTGTTTATATCAGTTATATTTACCGGGGTTTGAATATCCCGCATAAAGAAAATGTCTGGATCTTCCACCTTCATGTTGTTTATTGGAGTGCTAAACATGTCCTCATACTGCTTTTTTAGGATTTCACTAATTTCTTTGTCATCCTCCGTGTATGAACCTTCACTTGTACGAATAGGTCCAATACTGACAGTGGTTTTTGCTTTTGATTTCGCATATGAGAAGAAATATTTTGGGTTTTTCTTTATTTTTATATATTATTTATTTTATATATTTATTTTGTATATTAGAATAATCACTAAATTTATTTTCTCTATTTTTAATCCCAGTACCTCTACCACCTCATTTGTAACCTTTAGGAGCTCCGAGCATACAAGGTCTTCCCTAATATACAGACCCACTCATCCATGTGACCTAATTTTCCTATCACACCTGTATAGGTTATATCCTGGAATCCGGATCTCACTGTCTAAGAATTCCCCTGCATGGGTTTCTGTGAAAGCTCCAAATACTGCTTTTGACTCCGTGAGGCCATTTATGAACTGTACTTTGTTGTTTGTTCTTGTTTACAGTCCTTGTATGTTGGCAAAGATGAATGAGGTTACTCTATTAGTGATAGTTTGAATGGGAGACTTTTTCGGCAAGCCCATTATGCTTGGACATAATGAGTTTGTTCTGACCAGTACTGATTGTTGTAAGGCAGTTGTCTGTCGTAGTTGTAGTTCCCTTTCGGTGGGTAATTGTATCTGTAATTCTGGAATGCAAGTGGATCTGGCATCCAGTTCCATACACTCTCCATGCTGCTCCTTTTGAATTCTCTGTCGGTCTGGTATAAAAAATTTATAGAGTTTCCTCCAAATTCATTATCCTGCTTGCCACTCTTTATGTAGCGTTCCGTGCCTTTCACGTGAAAGTGTGGGCAGCTGAGGTCATAGCATTTTCTGTCCTCCAGTGAGGTTTGGCACATGTCAGGATGGAAAAACCTACATATTGATCCAAATCGACACTCACCTTTCCTAAGCATATTTAAACATTTTTGGGGATGTTGGTAACTACATTCTAATCCTTTCTTATTACCAGCATATCTATGTCTGCATATGCCCTTTGCATAGAATTTGCATAAGTCTGTCCTTCTGTTCTGAATTGCTCTATCGGGAACCGTCGTAGTGTCTGTACCTATTGAGCTGTCAGTGCTGTCTGGTACACTTTCTAGTTTACTGTCATCTACATCTGGGCCTACTGAGTCAGAGTTTACAACTTCCTGAGTTTCAGCCTCAGTTTCATCCCTGACTATAGCCTCCGCCCCTGGTATATTAGAATTGTTGTTCCTTTCTCACTCCTTCTGGATGGCTGGCAGGCTTCCAATGAATGATGTTTTCCGATCATGCGTCATGTTATCTAGAAGGTTTTTTAGGATATTCCAAGCTGGCAGGTCATTTTTACACACCCAGAGCAAGTGGCCAGCTCTCAGTGCCGTAGTGTTACTCACTCCTGTACAAGCCGAATGGAATCTAGTCTTACAGATATAACATTCAATTCCCGTTACCTTCGTCTTTAAGGAGTTGTTACAGTGGCCACAAATTTGTTTATTTACTCCCATTTTGCCTTGTTTTGTTGTATATATCTATATATTTATAATATTATATGTATATTGTATATTTGTAACAATATATATGTTTATTTGTTCTACTGTATGGTCAGTACTTATCGCACGGTCGAGGGTGAGGGTCCCAGAGGCTGTACAGTTGACACGTTGTTGTATTTGAGGTTCACTGTATGGATCACTTGTTGATGTCAGTCCTTTTAACTCTTTACAAAATTATATGTATATATATTTATATGTTTAATATTTATAATATTATATGTATACCGTATATTAGTAATATTATGTATGTTATTTTGTTCAAACTTTATGGCAGGTACTTAGCGTAGGGTAGCGAGGCTGATCCCCGGTCGGTACAGGTGACCTCTTGTTGTCCCAGGTTGATGTCACCAGTTTCCAGTTACCCGATTTATAACCACTGATGCCGCCTCTTGCCACTATTCTATATTTCTAGTATTTTATATTTATAATATTCTATGCACGATTTTCCTTCACTTCCAACTTATATGTTGTTGTGATACCCGTTCCACTTCACTGTTCCACGAATCACCGTTCACTATTTTTTTATTTTTCCTAATACACGCATGTACACAAAGCCTCGTTCACTGGCTCACACGCGGTCTCCCGTTTATTCTCTATTTAACACAAAGTTCTATTGTTAATGACTATTTTCAATTTTCCAGCGGGTCACTATGCACTTTGTTATGTCTGTAATCAGTAATCCACGGCAGTAGTCCTAAGAATCCCGGTTAATGTCACGATTTTAACGGAGCGCCACGGTACGTCTTCCCCCCTCCACTTTAATTGTAATTGGATCACTCAATCACTTACTGGAGCATGAATAGTGGGTGCTCAACATTGCAAACAGAATTATATGCCCTGAAGGAACCCATAAATTATACAATTAAGAATAATTTACATGATGTCATCATTCATACTGACTCTAAATCTTCGCTCCAGGCATTATTATCAAGCCAGCAGAGAGATAATATACAACTCATCACATAAATCCTACATATATAAAAGCAGCATACAATCTAGGGCTGTCAATCCCCCTAAATTGGATACCAAGTAACATTGGCATACATAGTAATGAAAAGACAGACTCACTAGCAAAAACTGTCACTGCTCTACCTGTTGTACAAATTCAAATACCTCCAAGTTTTTAACAGATTAAGGAGAATATCAAGAAGAAAATACTCCCAACTAAGAATTTGAAGAATGAGATTCTTCATTAAGACTCGTGGGTGCACTTACCTGCCTGTGCTGTCTCCTGCAAACACTGGACAACTTCTGTAGAAAGATGTGTGCTGAGGATCTGATCTTCCAAACCTAAGAAAGCCTCAGCATTTTCTCCACAGACATAAACTGAACTACCAGTTCGTGAGAATGTTGCCCAAGTCCCATTGTTCAAGGGCAGGAGAGGAATTCCCTCAAGATCGCTATAATTCTCGTCTGAGATGGCATACTCCAGCAGGTGAGCTCGATTCCAGTTTCCTCTGATTGACTTCAATGTTCTCAGGTTATTCCTCAACACTTGGGGAGTCACTGTTGCCGGGGAAGACTCTGAAATTATTAAAAACTTAATTAGAAATTTGTATTGAACATGTACGTCTATATGTACTATTTGTACATATTTATCCACATAAACAAAATTAAGAAACACCATAAATATATATTTAATGGTTCCGGAAGTACAGTCGGGTTCGCTCTCGACTCAATCGAGAATTCCGTGTTCGAAACCCGCGTGGGACAGAAATGGTTGTGCATGATTCCTGTCACCTCTTGCCCCTGTCCACCTACCAGTAAGTAGGTACTCAGGAGTCAGTCAGCTTGTTGTGGGATGCATCCTGGGGGGGGGGGCGGGGTCAGTACACTGACCCTGGAGGGGGGGGGGGGCTCGATATAACCCCAACATGTACTGTATGTATAAACTTGCTTCCTGCCCCCCCCCCCCCCTCCCCGACGCAGTGAAATATTAAATTAATTTGGTCTTACAGTTGCAACTGAGAATTTTACTAAGCTGCCCCTTTTAAATTTCCAAAGCTTTTAACGGAGAACTATTTAATATGTCAGAGTCACTCATGTTCCTCTTTATGTACAGGCTCACACATGTTCCTCTTTATGTACAGGCTCACTCATGTTCCTCTTTATGTACAGACTCACTCATGTTCCTCTTTATGTACAGGCTCACACATGTTCCTCTTTATGTACAGGCTCACACATGTTCCTATTTATGTACAGACTCACTCATGTTCCTCTTTATGTACAGACTCACTCATGTTCCTCTTTATGTACAGGCTCACACATGTTCCTCTTTATGTACAGGCTCACTCATGTTCCTCTTTATGTACAGACTCACTCATGTTCCTCTTTATGTACAGGCTCACACATGTTCCTCTTTATGTACAGGCTCACACATGTTCCTCTTTATGTACAGACTCACTCATGTTCCTCTTTATGTACAGACTCACACATGTTCTTCTTTATGTACAGGCTCACACATGTTCCTCTTTATGTACAGGCTCACACATGTTCCTCTTTATGTACAGGCTCACTCATGTTCCTCTTTATGTACAGACTCACACGTGTTCCTCTTTATGTACAGGCTCACACATGTTCCTCTTTATGTACAGGCTCACTCATGTTCCTCTTTATGTACAGGCTCACACATGTTCTTCTTTATGTACAGACTCACTCATATTCCTCTTTATGTACAGACTCACTCATGTTCCTCTTTATGTACAGACTCACTCATATTCCTCTTTATGTACAGACTCACTCATGTTCCTCTTTATGTACAGACTCACTCATGTTCCTCTTTATGTACAGACTCACTCATGTTCCTCTTTATGTACAGACTCACTCATGTTCCTCTTTATGTACAGACTCACTCATGTTCCTCTTTATGTACAGACTCACTCATGTTCCTCTTTATGTACAGGCTCACACATGTTCCTCTTTATGTACAGGCTCACTCATGTTCCTCTTTATGTACAGGCTCACACATGTTCCTCTTTATGTACAGGCTCACTCATGTTCCTCTTTATGTACAGGCTCACACATGTTCCTCTTTATGTACAGACTCACTCATGTTCCTCTTTATGTACAGACTCACTCATGTTCCTCTTTATGTACAGACTCACTCATGTTCCTCTTTATGTACAGACTCACTCATGTTCCTCTTTATGTACAGACTCACTCATGTTCCTCTTTATGTACAGGCTCACACATGTTCCTCTTTATGTACAGACTCACTCATGTTCCTCTTTATGTACAGGCTCACACATGTTCCTCTTTATGTACAGACTCACTCATGTTCCTCTTTATGTACAGACTCACTCATGTTCCTCTTTATGTACAGACTCACTCATGTTCCTCTTTATGTACAGACTCACTCATGTTCCTCTTTATGTACAGACTCACTCATGTTCCTCTTTATGTACAGGCTCACTCATGTTCCTCTTTATGTACAGGCTCACACATGTTCCTCTTTATGTACAGACTCACTCATGTTCCTCTTTATGTACAGACTCACTCATGTTCCTCTTTATGTACAGGCTCACTCATGTTCCTCTTTATGTACAGGCTCACACATGTTCCTCTTTATGTACAGACTCACTCATGTTCCTCTTTATGTACAGGCTCACTCATGTTCTTCTTTATGTACAGGCTCACACATGTTCCTCTTTATGTACAGACTCACACATGTTCCTCTTTATGTACAGACTCACTCATGTTCTTCTTTATGTACAGACTCACTCATGTTCCTCTTTATGTACAGGCTCACTCATGTTCCTCTTTATGTACAGGCTCACACATGTTCCTCTTTATGTACAGACTCACTCATGTTCCTCTTTATGTACAGGCTCACTCATGTTCTTCTTTATGTACAGGCTCACACATGTTCCTCTTTATGTACAGACTCACTCATGTTCCTCTTTATGTACAGACTCACTCATGTTCCTCTTTATGTACAGACTCACTCATGTTCCTCTTTATGTACAGGCTCACTCATGTTCTTCTTTATGTACAGACTCACTCATGTTCCTCTTTATGTACAGGCTCACACATGTTCCTCTTTATGTACAGGCTCACACATGTTCCTCTTTATGTACAGGCTCACACATGTTCCTCTTTATGTACAGACTCACTCATGTTCCTCTTTATGTACAGACTCACTCATGTTCCTCTTTATGTACAGACTCACTCATGTTCCTCTTTATGTACAGGCTCACTCATGTTCCTCTTTATGTACAGACTCACTCATGTTCCTCTTTATGTACAGTCACTCATGTTCCTCTTCATTTTCAAACCTACTCATGTGTCTCTTTATAATAAAATAATAATGCTTTACTTAAGCAAAAGTCGAAACATACATTAGATACAACAGTGGAGGATTCATAGGTAAGACAAGTGCATTGTCTGCCCAAAATATGCAAAGCATTTTGGGGATAATATGGATAATACAGAAATTAGTTAATGGGGAAGCTCTTAACACCATATGAGATCAGATATAGTTGATGAATTGAAGAAGAAATTGAATCTAAAGAAATCTTTAGATTCAAGCCTACTCGTGTGCCCCTTTTATTCATCAGCCCACTCATGTGTCGTCTCTATGCTGTGCTCAGCCCACTCATGTGTCGTCTCTATGCTGTGCTCCATCAGCCCACTCATGTGTCATCTCTATGCTGTGCTCCATCAGCCCACTCACGTGTCGTCTCTATGCTGTGCTCCATCAGCCCACTCACGTGTCGTCTCTATGCTGTGCTCCATCAGCCCACTCACGTGTCGTCTCTATGCTGTGCTCCATCAGCCCACTCACGTGTCGTCTCTATGCTGTGCTCCATCAGCCCACTCACGTGTCGTCTCTATGCTGTGCTCCATCAGCCCACTCACGTGTCGTCTCTATGCTGTGCTCAGCCCACTCATGTGTCGTCTCTATGCTGTGCTCATCAGCCCACTCACGTGTCGTCTCTATGCTGTGCTCAGCCCACTCATGTGTCGTCTCTATGCTGTGCTCATCAGCCCACTCACGTGTCGTCTCTATGCTGTGCTCAGCCCACTCATGTGTCGTCTCTATGCTGTGCTCCATCAGCCCACTCATGTGTCGTCTCTATGCTGTGCTCCATCAGCCCACTCATGTGTCGTCTCTATGCTGTGCTCAGCCCACTCATGTGTCGTCTCTATGCTGTGCTCATCAGCCCACTCACGTGTCGTCTCTATGCTGTGCTCAGCCCACTCATGTGTCGTCTCTATGCTGTGCTCCATCAGCCCACTCATGTGTCATCTCTATGCTGTGCTCCATCAGCCCACTCATGTGTCGTCTCTATGCTGTGCTCCATCAGCCCACTCATGTGTCGTCTCTATGCTGTGCTCCATCAGCCCACTCATGTGTCGTCTCTATGCTGTGCTCCATCAGCCCACTCATGTGTCGTCTCTATGCTGTGCTCCATCAGCCCACTCATGTGTCGTCTCTATGCTGTGCTCCATCAGCCCACTCACGTGTCGTCTCTATGCTGTGCTCCATCAGCCCACTCACGTGTCGTCTCTATGCTGTGCTCCATCAGCCCACTCACGTGTCGTCTCTATGCTGTGCTCCATCAGCCCACTCATGTGTCGTCTCTATGCTGTGCTCATCAGCCCACTCACGTGTCGTCTCTATGCTGTGCTCAGCCCACTCATGTGTCGTCTCTATGCTGTGCTCCATCAGCCCACTCATGTGTCGTCTCTATGCTGTGCTCCATCAGCCCACTCATGTGTCGTCTCTATGCTGTGCTCCATCAGCCCACTCATGTGTCGTCTCTATGCTGTGCTCCATCAGCCCACTCATGTGTCGTCTCTATGCTGTGCTCCATCAGCCCACTCATGTGTCGTCTCTATGCTGTGCTCCATCAGCCCACTCACGTGTCGTCTCTATGCTGTGCTCCATCAGCCCACTCACGTGTCGTCTCTATGCTGTGCTCCATCAGCCCACTCACGTGTCGTCTCTATGCTGTGCTCCATCAGCCCACTCATGTGTCGTCTCTATGCTGTGCTCATCAGCCCACTCACGTGTCGTCTCTATGCTGTGCTCAGCCCACTCATGTGTCGTCTCTATGCTGTGCTCCATCAGCCCACTCATGTGTCGTCTCTATGCTGTGCTCCATCAGCCCACTCATGTGTCGTCTCTATGCTGTGCTCCATCAGCCCACTCATGTGTCGTCTCTATGCTGTGCTCCATCAGCCCACTCATGTGTCGTCTCTATGCTGTGCTCCATCAGCCCACTCATGTGTCGTCTCTATGCCGTGCTCCATCAGCCCACTCATGTGTCGTCTCTATGCTGTGCTCCATCAGCCCACTCACGTGTCGTCTCTATGCTGTGCTCCATCAGCCCACTCATGTGTCGTCTCTATGCTGTGCTCCATCAGCCCACTCATGTGTCGTCTCTATGCTGTGCTCCATCAGCCCACTCATGTGTCGTCTCTATGCTGTGCTCCATCAGCCCACTCATGTGTCGTCTCTATGCTGTGCTCCATCAGCCCACTCATGTGTCGTCTCTATGCTGTGCTCATCAGCCCACTCACGTGTCGTCTCTATGCTGTGCTCAGCCCACTCATGTGTCGTCTCTATGCTGTGCTCCATCAGCCCACTCATGTGTCGTCTCTATGCTGTGCTCCATCAGCCCACTCACGTGTCGTCTCTATGCTGTGCTCCATCAGCCCACTCATGTGTCGTCTCTATGCTGTGCTCCATCAGCCCACTCATGTGTCGTCTCTATGCTGTGCTCCATCAGCCCACTCATGTGTCGTCTCTATGCTGTGCTCCATCAGCCCACTCATGTGTCGTCTCTATGCTGTGCTCCATCAGCCCACTCATGTGTCGTCTCTATGCTGTGCTCCCAATAATAATAAACAAGAATTTAGACAAACTCTGAAGCTGTGAAAGAATTCATGAGTATTTTGAGAAAAATATTTTGTCTTGCATATGAGCAGCACATAATTGATGTCAACTGATCAAGAGAAATTAAACGAAGTCCAAATATACAATCAATTACTAACTGAAATCTATATAAATAAAAATGTAAATGTTCATTTGTTCAAAATCGCTAATCTCCGAAAGTTCATCACCGATTGCTTTGAAAATTTCACACAGCTTTGCACTCGAATAGGCGCATGTTTTCATATAAGTACTATGAACATGATTAACCTGTGACAGGAAAAAACAAGTTTTTTTTAAACAGCGCCATCTGTTGCATGTAAGAGCAAGATATGCTATAGTAAATATGTTACGATTCCATTTTTAAGGTTTCCGATTTCATTGATAAATTGAATTTTCATAGATTTCGATTTATTTTCATTTTGATTTAATTATTTTGAGTGACATTGTGTTGGAATTGAGCTGTGTTGTTTACCATATGTTACGATATATCGTATCGTGTTATTTCATCGCATAAAGGCACGGTTATTTAATAGAAATACGTTCATTATTACAGGAAGAACGAAGTTAACGATCATGGAGGTCGTTAACTGTCAGCACGGTATGACTCGTCCGGTGGCGGGAATTTCTGTTAGCCAATCAGAACCACCGGGCGAGGTAACGAGTGCTGGCCGGAGCATGTGGAAAAACAGACATCTACTCCCCTTCATTCAGTCAACATGCTGTCGTCGCTTTCGGATGTTTGACCAACTGACCCAACTGTTCCAGTATGCTCCACCCTCACCAAAGGAAACGGACGTGAGGACCTAGCGGCATGGTAAACGTGTCTGAGGTCGTGGAAGGCACCGTCATTGATAGTTAGAGGCGTTGAGGTAACACACAGTGTCCGAATAGTGGTCCTAATTACGGACAAGTGGATGATCTATAAGTGGGAAGACCAATCGGACAGGAGACGACCATTTCATGGTCGCAGTCTCTGTCTATATATATATAATATATATATATATATATCGTACCTAGTAGCCAGAATGCACTTCTCAGCCTACTATACAAGGCCCTTTTTGCCTAATAAGCCAAGTTTTCATGAATTAATATATTTTCTCTAATTTTTTTCTTATGAAATGATAAAGCTACCCATTTCATTATGTATGAGGTCAATTTTTTTTTATTGGAGTTAAAATTAACGTAGATATATGACCGAACCTAACCAACCCTACCTAACCTAACCTAACCTATCTTTATAGGTTAGGTGGCCGAAAAAGTTAGGTTAGGTTAGGTAGTCGAAAAACAATTAATTCATGAAAACTTGGCTTATTAGGCAAATCGGGCCTTGCATAGTAGGCTGAGAAGTGCGTTCTGGCTACTAGGTACGACATATATATATATATATATATATATATATATATATATATATATATATATATATATATATATATATATATATATATATATATATATAACTGTACTTATGTACAATGCCTTAACATATATACATGTAATATATTGTATAAAATGTGGATCGAGATATATCTGAATATATCCATGATGAAGTTTTTATACAATCTTATTTTCTTGTCCTTTGTCAGACCTCAGCACAAAGTGTGTCGCACCTGACAACAGGTCCGGCTGAGGCTGACACCTGATCAGATTAACGTACCCCGTTATAGTACAACGAAACATAAGATAAACACTCAGAATAAACCTAAATTAAATGTGTTGGGTTGTCGACAGTTCGATCCCAACACATACCGCTCATTTTGTGAGTGTGGTTTATTTTTTTATAATTTGTCATTGTTTTTCATTTAGTTTTTAAATCTTTTTCTTATATTTCAGTGATGGGAGTACAGATAATTTTATGTTTCCAATTTTCAGATGGGAACATGAGATCATTTGGGAATGAATCGGGCGAGGGAGTGGGGAATGGTGGGGAGGAGGAGGAGGAGGATGGGGGAGTTGGTGATGGTGGGGACATGGGAATGGAGAATGGTAGGGAGGACAAGGGGAGTGGGAGATGGTGGGGGAGGACTTAGGGGGATGGTTGGGTGGACGAGGGGACGGGGGAGTGGGAGATGGTGGGGAGGGCAAAGAGATGGAGGATGGGGGGAATGGTGGGGAGGAGGAGGGGACGGGGAAGAGGAGAATGGTTGGGAGGACGAGGGGAGGTGAGGGGGGAATGGTGGGGAGGACTGGGGGACAGGGAAGGTTGCTGTGGCTCAGTAACGCACACGCGTTGCTGAGCCACAGCAACGCGTGGCCGGGTACAGATAGTTATATATTTTGTAGCTTAATTAGCCTTGGATTCTCTCATTAAAACTAAACATGTTGTGTTATTTTGAAGGACAGTTCTGTTTATCCTAAAGTGATACTTATGATTTGTGATTTTAAAGACTTAAAATTTAAGATTCTCCAGAAATACATGTATTTTAATTTGTAGCTGTTTGCTGCCCATTAGTGTGTGATACCATAATTTTTTATCTAAAATTAACATATAAAAATATAATTAGGCAACTTACCAACTGAATCAAGTGAGGTGAGGATAGTTCTAGGCACAGAAGCAAGAGGTAATTTTTGCTCTATGAGGAAGTCTTTGACAGTGGTGTAGACATGCGGTGGACAAGAGGTCAGGCACTCATATGTTAGAACCTCCTCTGGCTTCATCATACAGCCTTCTGCCTGTTCAAAAGAGAATACATTGAATATAGTGTAAACCATAATGGTACACCACATAAAAGCCTCAAGAAGTTTACCTCCGGCCATTACATTGCTCTACAGCAAACCAGTTGAACTCTGAACCTTCCCTGATTTTCTAAAAAAATGGAAGAGTTATCCCTACTCCTATCTAGCTCTACTCCTATAAAGCTCTTCTCCTATCTAGCTCTATTCCTATAAAACTCTTCTCCTATCTAGCAAGATATAATATACTTAGCACTTGCCAAAATTGGTTTAGACTCCCATAAAAGCAACAAAGATGCACTGTTTAGTATGATTAACTTATTACATGCAGCGCTTGACGAAAGTTCAAGTCAGCAAATAAACCCTGTAGGTTTATTTGTTGATTTTCGGAAGGCTTCTGACACCGCTAACCACAATAACCTTTTTTATTACACTGGAACACCGTGGAGTCAGAGGTGACGCCCTAGTCACCATAGTCCATATAGTCTTACCTTAGTGACAGGTTCCAGTATGTCTCTGTGACTGACGCTACTTCTCCCACCGTACTAACTAACATTGGTGTTCCACAGGGCAGTGTACCTGGTCCTCTCCTCTCTCATTTACATCAATAACCTTCCTAATGCCTCTCAACACCACAAGCCAACTCTGTCTGCTGATTACACTACCTTCATTTTCTCCAGTTCCACCCTCTTACTGTGAATGACATAGTGAATACTGAACCCATAAAAGTCTATCTTTGGCTAACAGCTAACAAACTTATTTATTTATTTAGTTATTTATTTATTTAATTATATATATATATATACAAGAAGGTACATTGAGTTTATGAGAGTACATAGCATTGATGTTTTTACATTCTTGTAAAGCCACTAACACGCATAGCGTTTCGGACAGGTCCTTAATCTTACAGATAATTTTAAGTAGGTGATTTGTAGCAAATTTTTAAGAATATTAACAGGTACATTGTAAGAAAATTTGAGGAAAATTAATACGTACATTGTAGCAAAATTTGAAGATTGTTAATAGGTACATTGTAGTAAGATATGCGTCCAACATAACAACCAGGATATAAGTTGATAGCAGTGACTGCAATGGTGAAGTTGCATGCCTTAGGCACATATTTGGGGAGTGGGTAGCACATGATACAGCGAGAGTTTGAAGACCAAAATTATGAGGATGAAATTAGGTACATTTTGGTTTTATTTTTGAATAAGGCATAGGTTGGACAGCTTTTTAGGCTAGGGAGTGAGGTCCATAGACTAGGTCTCTTTATTTGCATAGTGTTTGCACAAATTTATTTTCACTCTGGGGATATCAAAGAGATATTTATTTCTGGTGTGGTGATTATAGGTTCTATTACCTATAATAGAACCTATAATCTATGATTATAGGTTCTACTTGTACATCTGTCAAGGAAGAGATTACATCTGTCTCAGATCAGGATTAGCATTTAGGAACAAGGTTTTGTACGTGTAAATGTCACAAGAGAATGTGTGGAGTGAGTTTATGTTTAGCATGTTTAGGGATTTAAACAGAGGGGGCTGTGTGTTTTCTGAAAACAGTTTGTAATTGTTCTGATGGGCTTGAGGTAGTTTGCAGTGATTGAACCCCCATGCACAGATGCAGTATGTAAGATAGGGATAGATTAGCGCATAGTATGAGAGGAGAGCAGAGATTGGAACATAATATCTGATTTTGAAAAGCATACGGACCGTTTTTGAGACTTTTTGGTTATGTGTTGAATGTGGGTGCTGAAGTTGAGTCTCTTGTCAAGGTATAGGCCAAGGAACTTTCCATCATTTTTATTGCTGATGTTAACATTGTCTATCTGAAGCTGAATTGCCTTTGATTTGCTTCTAAATAAGACGTAGAAGATCTTTCTTATGTTTAGTGTGAGTTTGTTGGTTGACATCCATGAGTAGACTTTTTCCATTCGTTATTTTAAACATTATTTAGAGTGTGGGTTGGGGTCTATGTTGATGAATGTGTTATGAACCTGTTATATTAATTGAGTGAATAACTGATTCATAATGTAATTAAGAATAAAGGAATGAATTATATTGATTTATTCATACTATAAATTATAATTATATCCATACTATGAAATGGATATAAATTCACTTGAACGTGCTCAGCGTAGGATGACAAAGTTAATTCCCCAAATTAGAAACCTGTCATATGAAGAGAGATTAACAAAGCTTAAATTGCATTCACTGGAAAGGCGAAGAGTTAGGGGTGACATGATAGAGGTTTACAAGTGGATGAATGGACATAACAAAGGGGATATTAAAAATCAACACAAGACAGAACACAAAACAATGGGTTTAGTGTTCTGCACGTGTTTCGTTTAGCACGGGCTCACTATAGCCCGTGCTACATGGACACTTCGTTCTGAGTAGCTAAATCTAAAACAACAATAAAATGTATCAACACAATACAGAACACGAAACAATGGGTATAAATTGGATAAGTTTAGATTTAGGAAAGACTTGGGTAAATGGTTATAGATAGGAGCTGATAAATGTAAAGTTCTGAGGTTAGGTAATGATGATAGAGTTACAAGATACGAGCTAGATGGTGTTGAGATTGCAAAGTCGGATTGCGAAAGGGATCTGGGAGTTATGATTAGTAAGAATTTAAAACAAAAAGATCAATGCATGAATGTTCGTAATAAGGCGAATAGGACACTGGGATTTATTAATCGAAGCGTTAGTAACAAGACACCTGGTGTGGTTCTTCAGCTATATCTAGTTAGGCCCCATTTAGATTATGGAGTTCAGTTTTGGTCACCGTACTATAGAATGGATACAAATTCACTTGAACGTGTCCAGCGTAGGATAAGAACATAAAAACAAAGGTAACTGCAGAAGGCCTATTGGCCCATACGAGGCAGCTCCTATCTATAACCACCCAATCCCACTCATATACTTGTCCAACCCGTGCTTGAAACAATCGAGGGACCCCACCTCCACCACGTTACGCGGTAATTGGTTCCACAAATCAACAACCCTGTTACCGAACCAGTATTTACTTAAGTCTTTCCTAAATCTAAACTTATCCAATTTATATCCAATGTTTCGTGTTCTGTCTTGTGTTGATACTTTTAATACCATATTAAAATCTCCTTTGTTATGTCTATTCACCCACTTGTAAACCTCTATCATGTCACCCCTAACTCTTCGCCTTTCCAGTGAATGCAACTTAAGCTTTGTTAATCTTTCTTCATATGAAAGATTTCTAATTTAGGGAATTATTACACTACTCCATCACTATGGAGTAGTGATGGTCCAGTGCGCACAGGATACACTTCTGGACAGGGTGCTGACACTTGTTGGTCGGGTGGGAGAACTCGTGGCACTTAAAGCACTGCTGGATCTCATGGTATCGTTCCTTTTTTATTTGGTGGGGTGGTATTTTTAGGCCGAAGCAGTAGAATCCTTGTGTGGCAGCCTGGGTGGCCGCAGCTATGGTGGTGAACGTAATCTTCATTGATGTTTTGTCGGTGTTGCAGAACTCTTGGTTGAATACCGACAGGTTTGGATTTTCGTCCTCGATATTGTTTATGATATGATGTTGAGGTCGCTCAGCGATCCACCGGTGATTGATTGATAAAGATTAAGCCACCCAAGAGGTGGCACGGGCATGAATAGCCCGTAAGTGGTACAATTTTTTTTTTTTTCAGTATTCTGAGGTTGCATTTTAACCATCAAGCTGTTATCGTGGGGGAGGATACTGCTTCACAGTCTTTATGAGGGTGTCCAGCTGCTGGACACCTTTGTTGACCAGGAGAGTGGCTGTGTTGATGGCTTCAGGGTGGCCACTGTATGATTCAGGAACTCTTAAAGCTCTTCTAAGGTCATTGGTTGCTTCACATTCCAGAAGATAGTGATGTAATGGCTTTTCTGTGACAGTTTGGCAGAAGATGCACTCTCTCTGTCGGGGTTCACCAATCTCCCAGTTGCATCTGTAACCTAGACGTAGTCTATATAGCCTAAGTTCTATTTCCCTGTGGATTCCATTTGGGATATTTAACCTTTCTAATTTGGTTGCCTGAAGATACCATGTTGCAGATGGCGAACCTTCAGCTATTCTCTGGTGCAGGTCGGCTTTGTTGAGATGTGAGAGTTTTTTGGTGATGATGTTTTTTATGTTCTCTAGGCTGGGTTGAATTGTTTTATGTATCACTGGATGACGAGTTGCCAATTTAGCAATTTCATCAGCTTTTTCATTTAATGGGATTCCAATATGGGATGGGATCCAGTTTAAAGTTATGTTGAGTCCTTTGCCTTTAGCGACTGCTCCTTGATACAAAATGGTGGTAATTATTTCCACATTATCTTTCCACTGTTTTTGTCCTAGTATTTGAAGTGCAGCTTTTGAGTCTGTGTGTATGATTGCATTTTGAGTGTTTTGTGCAATCACATATGCGAATGCCTGTTGTATGGCAAACAGCTCAGTTTGGGTTGATGATACTAGTCCTCCCAGTCTCCAATATGCCTGAACGCTGGTCGTGCAAAGAGCAGCGCCAGCACTCTCATTTTCTGTGTCCACCGATCCGTCTGTGAAGATGTGGGTGGCTCCTGCTACTGCTATGCTATACATTTGCTCTTCTATTATGCGCCTTAGGATTGTCGGATCATAGGCAGCCTTTTTCATTGGGAGACTTTCTATTACTATTTTGAAAGTAGGCTCTTCCCACGGGGCGGAAGGAGTGTAATTTGGGTGTGGATGATCACCCTCTCTATCAAGAATCATGTTTTTTAAATGTAGTCTGTTTAGGACTTTTCCTGCTCTTGCAACCCAAGAGTTTCCATTGTTTTGGCCTAGTCCAACCACCAAGGCCTGCCGTACTGGGATTGGATCAGAAGAAATAATTATCTTACTGATAATTGTAGCTGTCCTTTGTGATATTCTTTCTTGTAGAGAGGGCAAACCCGTCTCCAGTCTAAGAGTTTCAAGCCTGGTCCACATGGGGGCTCCCAGTGCAGCTCTCATAGCAT